GGTACATACCACAAAGTTCATTTCTAAAAGCCAGGCTGGGAGAAATTTCCATTTATCTACGGGCACACTATGTATTCTCACCAGCTAGACACCTCTATAACGAGATAGCATTCGAGTGACAAACTGTTCTGACGTACTGTAGAGTTTTGAAAAAAGAAATGTAAATATAGGACGTATACATTTAAAGGTATTTTAGTACAATTGCTGGAAACAAGAAAGTAGATTGATGTTTCATAATTTCTTTTTTACAGGAATCTCTTGCCCCTCTTCAGAGAGAAGACATGGCTTACCCTCTAAGGAATGTTTTGGCTATGGGGAGGGGAAGCTTAGACTTTGCCGAGAAGCTTCTTCAAGAAAAGAATGAACCTCCCCCTCCCCCTCCAAGTTCTGGTGACACTTCTCCCGAGTGGTGCAAATGTAATGCGTGTAGGCCAATGCCGAATAAAATCGAAAATGTTTGTTGTAAGAGGGTGACCTGTATTACAAGATTTCAGGCATTCAACAATATTTGTCTAGACAGGGACATCCTTGAGGTTTGCATCAAGGCTCGCTGCGACATTCGGGCAGATGAATTCAATTTCTCCATGGAGAGTTTTAGGAAAGCCGCCTATCGACAATTTGTTCTGTGGAGGTTTGGCAAACTCGGCCGGGGCAAAAGGAGGGTAGTGCCCTCATGTGTTGTATTGTCAATAAGAAGAATATATCCCTCAGCAGATGGTCAATATATGGGATAGAGAAACAGCTAAATAGTTCTGCGAGAGTAAGAAGTATACTCCCATATTTTTTTTCCAATTTCATTCACACTTGTATTGTCAACTAGTCCGTTCTATGCTTTGCATTAGAAGTAGTGCATGCTAAGTGTTTAAAAAAAGACAGGGTTATTTGCTCCCCAATTTATGATGAAAAAAAATTAACCAATAGTATTTCATGCAACCATAAGCTGGATAATGTCTGTCTACAGAAATAACTCTCCTAAAGAGACAGTATGATCACTGGTATTAAAACATGTTCCTGTAATTTATGATGAAACAATGTTTGAATGTGTTTCATTTTTACAAGTGCAATACGTTTAATATTTTAGAAGAAAAAATATAAATGATCAGCTGCTTCCCTAGTTCAACTGTTCCACTTTTTCAAAGGCGGCTTAGCAAGACGAGATAGCCCTTTCATCAATTCCTCAGTAGAGGGTGCTGCCTTCATGGCAATAGTGGGAGCAATCGGCTTTGGGTTGAAGACATTGTCATCAGTTGTCTGAGAAAAGCTTCCCTCCAGAAGACAACGCTCCCTCAACATTTTGGCCATGAGAAAGGGGAAATAGGAGTACCCTTTCTCCTCCTTGACAGTCTCTGCATGGAATTTTTGTGTGCGCTAAGAGTACTTTCTCAGTGGCCACGCTCCTCTCCAGCTGCATTCAGCTGCTGCCCTCTACAAAGATGCATATTGTGGTCGATGGCAGCCAGCATAATACGCATGATGAAGTAAGGATACCTAAAAAACACCAAGTCAAAAGACGGGGTTCTTTCAGCTATGATTACAAATTAACATTACACAACTCTTACTACTAACATGATCAATTCAAAAGAGCCGGTCCACTATAAATAATCATCATCATACGAGTCACTTGAAATGTAAGTTCTAAGTTTCTTACTCGAATGCCATTCTCTTGGGAGCATATTTTGTCAGCATACTATTGTAGCTTTCAAGAACACTTGTGTGCCTACAAGAAACACAGATCATACAACTAATCAATTAAGACAATGGTCTGTCTACTTGACTTGT